ATTCGGTCTTTTTGTGCAACGGTCTCTGGTGTGGCACATCGTCAAAGGCATTTGAAACGTCAATGTAGGCGATGCAAGGCGTTGAAATTTCATGCATTACTTTTTCCGATAACTACGTTCGGTACCGTCCTCTCAGAAGAAAGCATCTACAAACCTAAAAAGCGAAAATATTCAAATTTACGGTCCTCTTTCAAAATAGAAATAGCTTTTCTAGTCGTTACTGACCGACGTGCTTTAGTAAGCACTTAAAGGGCTTCACGCAACAACCTAATGTTTGTAAAAGCATGGGAACTAAGCTATAAAGGGAGTACGAACTAAAAATATTAGGAGGCGCGTTGGGGCAGACCCTGCGCAATACTTTATGGTTATTCACGGAGTACAAAGGCAATTGAAGAACCGATCCCCGTCCTTATGTATACAGAAGAAAAACTGGAGACAAACGACCACGTAAAAATGACCCCTCTTGCCAATCATTTACTTCCGACTGCCCGAGAGCCTAATCTTTTTGCTCTTGTTACAATCTTGTTACAGTGATTACAAACTATACGAACCAGTTCCATACTCCAAAAATTTTCTAAATAAGTCAAACTCTCGGAAGAATCCAACTGACCATTCATCACCCCGATCTATAGGGAAGGTTCACGGCTTGACTGCCAAAATTAGTGCCCTATTCGTTTAAATTGTATCGCATGTAGAATAATGGACTTTTTTTATCAAGAACCATTTAATAGGATACTTAGAAAGAAACAAAATAGCGTGCAGTGCCCAACAGGCATTTCGTCTTGTACGTTCTTGCCTCAGGAGTGATCTTTACTCCCATGAGAGGTAGACAAAGGCCACAGATTAGGGTACTTGCGAACTTTACTGTTGACGGCTGTGATCATGCCTGATCTAACCGGCCTCAATGATTTCACTGACGGTACCTCTTCACGCGTGACGGTGCGTGGCAAAATACCGGGAAAGCTCCACCCAGTCTCTTCCCTAGCGACGGAGACCGAAAGTCGAAAGTTCAAGAACTGCTTTCATGTATCTAAGAACGATGTTGAACTAAATCTCGAGTTGCCCACATCTGCAGCGCCTCCAGGTTGGCTGTGGGTCCGGATCGGTGGCAAAGCAACAAAGCTCGTGAAGCGGACGATGGATAACATGCCTAAACCACCCTAGTTGTCTGCCCTTGATGGTCTGAGATATATTCGCGATATTGTCACAGTGAGTGTAGACTGTCTTATTTGGAACGGCGTCTGTTTACTTCAATTGAAGGAAGGTCCTCACGCAGTGGTGGTCAAATACTTCCAGTCTTCGCTCATCTTCGAGGTGCAAATCCTAGCATTTCCGTTCATAGAGGAGGACTGATGGGCCGGATGCACGTTACACGTAAACCATGGCATTAGAAATATCGCGTCGGGTCCACGGGCACTCTCAGAGGATTGAGAAGACCAGGCCAGCGGCATCGATTTGGGAAACAATGTCGTCCTTTCTCTGTCCATTCGGTAGCAGCCTCGCCCCGAGGTAATTAATGCTCTCTTCTTCTTCGTGTTGACGGCCATTTATTTTCAGGAAGCCTACCCTGGTTAGGCATGCAGCTTGAGAACAATTTTGTCTTTTCAGCATTAATAGACAAGCCAACCAACGCAGTGATCTCGTTCATTTGGGACATTACAGACTGTAGATAACCCAAGTTTTAAGCTACTAAAGCGATATAATCGACGTAATCGAGACCATTCAGCCGGCGTCCGGGTGCGAGTTCAATACCTTCCTCTTCATTTGGGACCTTCCCAAGAAGCCAGTCAATGGCGTAGTTGAATAGAACGGGTCACAAGACACAGCATGTTGAATTCAAGACCGAATAGCGAACGAGTCTCAGAGGTTGTTTTGGACCAAAACCGCGCAGTTGTGAAACGGCCGTACGCCTTGGTCATGGCGATGATTTTTGGTGGTACACCATCTAGCGCCATTATCAGCCCCAGGATTCGCAATAGACGGCCTCGAACGCAAGTTTCAAAGTCATCAAAGCGGATGACCGTTTGTTGCTAATAGCTACGGCGGCATTCGAGGGTCCGTCTCAGTGTGCTGCATCCACACCCAGCGCAGAATCCGGCTAAGTTAGGCCGCATCCCAGAGTCACGTATAGACTAATCGCAAGAAGATCTTCACTACAACGTCGATAACACTGATTCCGTTGTAGTTCTCGCATATTGACTTGTCTCCCTTCCTGTTAACAGGTACGAGAATGCCTGAGCTTCTGCACTACATTGGCAACGTCATCTTGAAAAGGCATGTCGCCCAACACTGTATAGACTGGAAGGGGCCGAATCTCCATTGCGAAGGACAGGGAGGATGTGATTGGTTGCTCATCCAAAGCTTCGAAGTGTTCACGCCAGCGATCGACCTTGGTCGAGTTGTCGGCGATAGAGCCGCCACTCACATCGCGAACAGAATTACAGAGCATCGGGGACTTACCATTAAATTTACGGATAATTTGGTACAGTTTTCGAGTGTCGAAGCCTGCTCCTTAGAAGTCACTGTTTCGGACAAATCTTCTACCGGTCATCCTTAGCCAACTTTTCTGTCAGCTTTCGGAATTGACAGAAGGAAGCATCGTTTCCGGACCTGGTTCGAGCCACCTGAGCAGACAGCTGAAGGTTCCTTGCGCTGATCTAGTCAAGCATTTTCTCAGCTGTCCCATAGACAAATGTCTTAAGTGCGGACCACTTGCTGCTGTCTTCGTCATCGGATGGGGTCGTAAGAGGAGACCGAATTTCTGTCCTTAGAGCCTTGGTAATGTTCGATTTCCGACGTTGTGCGACATCCAGGTGTCTTGCACGTTGCATTTTGGGGGCAGGTGAGAGGTGGACCTTCAGGCGTGTGTGGACGAGAACATGGTCAGACCCGTGGGCGTTGCCAGTTTCGGCACCTGGCGTCGAGTTGCTATCTTGGACCCAACTGCGGAACCTTGGACTAACTAGAATTTAATTAATCTTACTGGCGGTAAGGTAGCCGTTTGAATACCAGGTCAGTTGATGTTCCTGGCGATGCCGAAAGCATGTGTTGGTAGCAAACAGTCGGTTCTAATCTGCAAAGTGCAGCATCCTCTCAGCAGTGTCAGATCGAGAGAAAAGCCCAGAACGACAAAT